AAAGGATGCAGATGAGTCATGTAGTGTAACCTATCACGTGAGTTTTGAATAGGATAGAAATTCCTTTTTTTAACTCATCCCGTTTCACAGCGCAGGGGATATTTCAAAAATTTTTACTTTTTACTCATACTCCCTATTAGACTTTTTTTTCTCTGACTACAGGGTGGGGTTCACAAGCTTTACAAGTGACCAGTTTCCTTATTTAGGGTGCAAGTAGTGCAGATATTTGTTTTCCCATATATTGGTCTTATATTGAAGGATATTTTGCCCAGGTTTAGTTTTATTTGCTTTGTTAATTTTTCTTTTTATTGCAAAAAAAAAACAAAACATTTGTCTTTTCACAATTGTTTTTACCAGTGTATATACATTAGGGTGAATCACAGTTATATGGCGAAGTAAATTATTATAATTAAAAAAATTTCAAAATTTAATATTGACAGAAAGGAAATGAATTTTCTTGAAAAATGGGAAAATGTTTTTAGTTTTAGGTTAGATAATTTTAAACTTAAAATAAAAAATTATTTTTCTGTAATATAAATAACCAAAAGCGATGATTATTGATAAGCGAGTATTGTGTGTGTGTGCAAGTAGAGTGAATAGTACAATGTGCATTGCAACATTTCATAACAATAGCTTTCTCAATGCCACTCTCTCATTTCGTCATTTACAGTTAAAAGTCTGGATCTTTTTTTAATTTTTATATTTGATAATGCTGAAAATTCGAGTTCACGCAAAGCCCATTCAGAAAATTGTAAAAATATTTTTAAAGCTTTTTTGGCTCTATTATGAGATAATTGCTTTTAATTTTAAACCAAAAAGAAATCATTGATTTTAACAAATACTTTGAAATTAAATCTCAATTATTACAGAGCGAGAGAAATTAGTTTTTCCTTTTTTTTTTCAAAGTTTATTCTACCGTTACCATAAATAGATTACGAGATCCCTGTCAATTTTTTTTATATCTGTCTATCTATCCATTAAAGCAGCGCTTCTCAAACTGTGGGGCGCGAACCCCTAAGGGGGCGTGATATCCCTACGACGGGGGCGCGAGCATATCGAAAAGTCAAAAACAAAGGTTTTAACAAATTACAAATTTACACTAAAAGGAAGCAAAACAAAAATATATTCAGACATAATAAAATATAAAATACATATTTATATTGATATAATATACTTTTAAATGTATCATACTGCACAATGTATTTGATAATTAAACTCATAATACAAAATTAAGAACAAATTTAAAAATTACTAGTGATTCACATAGGCTTGTCATTTACAAAATTTAATACTTATCCTGATAACTTGTATGGTTTATGGTTATCGTATCGTAGCTTTAACGTCAAAGTGGATTATTATTGCACTCAATGCAGTGGCGTACACAAGGGGGAAGGGATCCTAGGAGTCCGGACCCCCCAAAGACCTTGATTTTTTTCCGATTGCTTATAATTCTAAGTATATAGTACGTAAAATTTATTTAAATATTTATTATAAATGATTAATTTTATTAATTAATGCTAGTCATTTATTCAATAATTAGTTTTTTTTACTGATTTTTGATCCCGAATATCGACAAAATCAAAAGGACCTTGATACAAGAATGGTGGACTTTCGACCCTGGTTCCTCCCCCCTCCTGAAAAATTCCTGTGTGCGCTGATGACTCAATACATTGCTATTGTGTGAAGGAGGGCGTGATGAAAAGTATGATTGAAAGTTTGAGAAGCACCGCAAAAAAACCATAAAACAACCGGATTTTATTTTTTTCTCAGAGTATAATAAACAATTTGAAAAACATTTGGTGGCACACAAAAGTGCCGTGGCACAGTGGTCGAGAATCACTGATCTACAAAAATAAATAATTATAAAATGAAGACCACACAAACCCATTGTCCTCTTCCTAGTATTTTCTAAACAAAATATTTGTTTGGAGAAAAGCGTATGCAAGAGTGAACAAAGACAGGAAAAAGGTGTACCATTTGAATCCATATTTTTTTTTTTTTTTTTACTTAACATGTAGGTGGTCATGTCAACAATACATCTCATTTAATGATTATTCTTGCAAAAATGTGGACGGATGAAGACATTTAAATTGTCTATACTCAGTTTGACTGTTGAAATGTTAGTCATGCTTAACAAATAGAACTTTCATACTAATTTCCTTACGAATTCTGCACATATACTTAGAAGAAAATAAATTATAGTTATTATACATTTACTGGATAAGAAAAACTCAAAGTGCACAGTTTTAAATTAGAATTCTTCATCTGATAAATCTGCAGGTTCTATGAAATACAGTTGAACCTCTATTTTGCAAGTTTTTCTATACAGCGAACTTTTTCCTGGAACCTTGAACATTTCACGATTTTCTTCGTAAAATAACCTCTCTATAGCAAAGTGCATTTTCTATATAACGAACTTTTTCTTTTGTGATTCAATTTTTTTTTTCTCCCTATTTTTAAAGTATTTCTGAACACTTCAAGTTATTCTCTCTTTAACACATTTTATGGTGGTCATAAATCTTGAACTGATTTTATTAGATCCTAACTCGCCTGGAGCAATTGAGTTCTGGACGTTTCATCCAAGAAGTGCAACCTTGAACCCCCATTGTCCAGTTCACTAGAAAAATCTTCGATATCTCCTTTCACCCTCAATGAAGTTGTCTCGTGTCCCCGTGTTCTAGTTATAAAATAATGTATGTTTAATATTACTTATATGGTTTAAAATTAGAAAATGACCTTAAAATTCATTAATTTTAATATAAAATTATTTTCTTAATATTGAACAGTTCGACATTCTTTTTTCTTGTTTTCCTTGCAGTTTCTTTCTTTTTTTGATGGGTAAGATGTATAAAATAAATAGATATTAATTTACTAAAAGGTGTGAATAATTACTTTATATATTAATGTATAGTGTTTATGAATTTAAAATGCGCATTTTATGTGATTTATTAAGTATATTGAAAGATGAACCTCTCTATAACGAATTTTCCATATAACGAACTTTTCTTCCGGATTTAGCGACTTCGTTATATAGAGGCCCGACTGTACTCGAAAAATCTTGAGCATACATTGGTGTTAATTCCAACCATTCACCTCTCCTTTTCCAGCATGAAAGGACAAAAACCAAGTGTTTTAGTTGCATCATTTGAATATTTTCACAAAGTTTTCAACAAATGAGGTTTCTATACGTTTCTAATTATGTAACTATAGCAAATGAACAAATAAAAAAATAATGAAGGTGAATGGAATATATATATTGTTTTTAATTCATACGTAATATGAATACAAAGTAAATGTTTTTTTTAAAGACAAAATACAATAAATTGAGTGAATTGATTGATTGATTGAATATTTACGTCTCACTGTTCAGCTATACGAGGGCTTTTGGCGACGGACCGCGTAATTTTGAACCATGGTCAAGTGACGTGGACGACACCTGAGCTGGCACCCTCCTCACCACCACACCAACGGGAGGACGTTTCAGTTCGGCAGATTTAACGTGCATCGCTGCCCTACACGGCGGGTCTTTAGTGATACTGGGCTCGAACTCGTGACAAGGCAAGCCACGATCCGATACCTATACCACTCGGCTACCGCGGCCATAAATTGAGTGAAAGTTGGCACTCTAGTTCTTAATCGTTTGATGTGATATCCAACTATTTTTTACCAAAAATGCATCTTAATTTACTAATTCTCGTCAGATTGAGGATTGATATATTAATCTTTTACTTAATTATTTTTTATATTGATTAACTGTTTGAGCTTTGGTTTTGTTTGTAATTAATGTATATTGCCCTTTGATGAGAGAAAAAAGATATATATAACACAGTTTTTTTTTTAAAGATAATTTTTTTATGAAGTAGATGTTGTAAAAGCTATTTACTAACTATAGGAAAATGAAGTAATATGTGAAAGAGCATAAAGTATTAATTTCAAACTAAACGTAACTTTTTTGTATTATATGTCTAACATATTTTCTAACCATTCAACACAATTTTGTTATAATTGTATATCTACGGTGAAGAACAGAAGTTCCCCTGTATGTGTATATATATATATATATATATATATATATATATATATATAATGCAAATTCATAATCATTCATCATTATAACAAAATCTAATTAAGCATTTCATGCTAATAATGTGCATTTTACTGCTCTTAGTATCAATTATTACAGAAAATAAACTTCTCTCCCACTCTTTTCGTAACTATATATACAATATATTTATACGATTAGTAGGTTATTATAATTTATATTTTTTTCGCAACAACCACACACACAATACACAAGTGTTTTTAGAGAGTTAATGATATGACGCGTTCTTAAGCAAGTTAAAACAACACTCTTATTTCATTGTTAGATTTAAGATTCTAAAAGGGAATATGTAAAATTCAGATTTTTTCTGAAAAGACCCTTGTAGCAAGAATAAGTTTCGCTTTAAATTGTTGAACCTTAAAGGAATTGTTATTTATCCTATTTTACATGTGTTATATACGTTCTTCGATGAAAAGACATAACCTTTTTATAAGATTTTGCCTAACTCTTTTGTTAGCATTGAAAATCACAGTCTCTTTGTAATAGTTGACCATTTATAAATTAACCTAAAAATATAATTATATTAAAGTGGTATATTTAATTTTTTGGAAGTGATCAACAGAATAAAGATAAAGGTATTGAGGGAAAAATGGTTCTCGACACGTCGAACACCTTTTCAGCCACATATTTTAGTAAAAACAAGTATAATATATATATATATATATAATTAAGTCAATTCCTCCTTAGGTCACCAAAGAAACATTTTATTTTAGTTACTTTTTATTAAATAATTACAACTAATATAAATATATATATACATGTGACACACACACACAGAGTCACAATATTAAGTGACAAAATAGAAAGCGATTTTCCAAGCAATTGTCTACATTTTCCTTCCTATATACATATAGTAAAATAGTATAGTAAAAAGAAGTCACATTGCCAGAAAGTAGGCCAACTCAGATGGGATTCGAACCCACGACCTTTGGATTAGAAGGCCAACGCGCTATCCATTGCGCTACAGGGCACAACAAGCACTTTTCCTTTCTATATATGCTGTTGGATTATTATTTTTCTTTGTTACTATTTATTCATTAATTAAATTTAATTGATGAATTAATATTTGAAAAAAAAATGTATTAACATCAAGTGTTATCCACTACAAGTCTAAAAAATTGCATTTGAACTTGAGTGAAGGAATAGAAATATATATATATATATAGAGAGAGAGAGAGACCTAATTGTAGGAATTGGTAAAAAATACAAAATTGAAATTGAGAGCAAGAGAATACATACATTATTCTTTGGTGGTTTTACGCAACGGAAGTAAAATTATTAAGTTCCAATTGATATTGATAGCATAAATAATTGCGCTTTAAATTTTATTTTTAAATTATTACTCTTCTAACATCGATCTCATAGAACTTTCTGAAAATTCATTAAAAGAAATTTTAAAATGTATTAATTTTATAGTTTTGTTATATTTAACAATTACAATTTATTTTTGTCTTATATAAGCTTTTATGTGTTAATGTTTTTAATATAATAGATAGAAGCAAGCAACGCTTTTCGAATTTGTCTTCGTTATCAGTATAAACAAACTATACGAGATTTTAATTATTATTGTTTAATTTTCTTCCTTAGTTATGAGCTATTAACAATTATTCTATTCATAATTATCACAAAATTACATCTGAATGTATCTGCCATTGCCTTTATTTCCGGGAATTTTATACAAACAGGATGCTGCAGAACAATCGATGTTTATAAAGTTTTAGTAATTATAAATGCGTAATTGAAATACTATATTAACCGTATATTATTTTAATTATTTGAAAAATATTCCAACAGTGACTTACAACAGAACATTGTTCTAAAAAATTTCCGTATTATATCTTACAAATTTTCAAGAATTTTTACTTAAATATCTTGACTTCTCTTATGAATCAAATGCAAATTTCTCTAAGCTCTCTAAATAGAAATATGTTTTATAATTATTATTGCAATTTATTTCATTGCATTAAATACATATTACACATAAATCGTCTTTGTATAGGAAAAAATGGACTTCATATTTAAATAAATAAATAAACTTAGAAATTTTTGTAGAAAAAACTTTAAATATATTTTGTTTTTATCAAAATTAATTAGTAATTTCAAATAGCATAATGTCTTTTCAAACGTAAAATGTTGGCAGTTTTGGAATTCTTATACAAATTTCTCTCAAAAATTTAATAAAAGTCTTCGTTTTGAAGAAAATAAGTGAGTTATATATTAACTGCATTTTTTTCGCACCTTAATTTTCTGTATTACTAAGACAAAACCTTTTGAATTTTATTTCTTAAACATAAATTTTGAGGTTCCTCCATTACACGTTAGTAAATATATGTCTACTTCTATTATATAAACACTTCCGAAATAAATGTTCTAATTAATATTTCAATTATGTTTTATTACATGAAAATATTCCCTTAACTGTTTTTTAAGCTTTTTTTATTTTATGATAAATTCATGGTCTCCCTCTCTCATTTATGTGAGAGTGCCTACACTCGTTAGAAATAAATAGGTTTTACATAACTTTCATCATAGTATTGATATATACTAGTACTCCTTTAAAATGTTTAAGGATGAGTTAAGTTAATATTCTATCCAATTCTATAATTTTCCTAAGCATAAAATATTGTCATAAAAACTTAAAAAATTCTGAATATACTTAACTTTTTCCATACTTATACGAAATTTTAAGTCTATATAATTTTTTATTCAAAATTAATTTAAAGCTAATTTTTTCAATCAAAAGAACAAATATAAATGCAGTGACGTAACGTACAGCCCCGCATTGCGGGGGAGGCCAGGATTCTAGGGGGACCAAAGCCTGACTGATCCCGAGTACGTATTTAACTAATTTGGGCGCAAAACATAACATTTCAGGGAGAAGGCCTAATATTTTCCGTAACATTACTGTATAAATGTATTTATTCAAGCACACATGTTCAACAATATTGAAGGTCAGTAATATTTAACGAATCCAAAAAATAAAAGTTAACTTTTTTTTTTGAAATTTGAATTTTTAATTTTAAAAATTTTGAATACACATTTCAGGAATTGCAATTAGCTTGTTGTTTCAACCTCTATCCAAATTTATTTTAAAATATTTTGCACTGAATTTTTAATCATTCGAATAATTAATCCTTAATTCATCATCATTTTAATTACTTAACTACTAATGTTGGCTACACAAAATAATTATGGTTTATTTTCAAATTAATTTTTAATTCAGTATTTTTCAGTTAGAATTTATAAGTCATTTATTACTGTTGTTGTATCTTTTATAATAATATAAGGGAACAACAAGAGAGAGAAAATTAAATATATATATCCATAACAGATTAATTTCAATATCACTTTTAAAAAGTGGATAAAATTGAAGCAGAAACTTTTCTATATCTTAAAATATTTAATTATATTAAAAATGTCCTTTTCGGTTAAACATTACATTTTCTTTTTATTTTACCATTTCAAAATTGAAATAGTTTGCTCTATTAAGGTATACGACTACATTCGGAACTGTGATTTTAAAAAAGCGCATAAATGGATAATTTTCATGATACTTAGTGTCACTTAGATTAGAATACATGTATAAAATGATTTTAAGAACATTTTGACAAAAAAATTTATTTAAATACAATATTTCGGCAAAAAATTAACTTAGAATAATCTTTTTTCCACACACACACACAAATGTTCTTATTTTGTGAAAAATGCTTCTATTATAATAATATTTTACCTATATATAGCTCAGACTTCTTTACAGAGGCTCAACTGTGATTTTTGAAAAATTCACATTATTTTCAAAGTTACAACCAAATGAAATATATATATATATATATATATATATATATAATTATCGACGTTTTTTTCTTAAAATTGCTCCCCTCTGTTGGTTGTCGTTAAATATGGATAAACCCACTTCTAAGTTATGTATTTCAAAAATTCTAGTTGAGCTTCTGTAGAGAGGTCTGAGTTATATACAGGCAACATATTTTTATAATAGAACCATTTTTCACAAAAAGAGAACATTTTGGAAAAAAAATTATTCTAAGTTAATTTTTTGCGAAAATATTGTATTTAAATTATTTTTTTGTCAAAATGTACTTAAATCAATTGTATACATGTATTCTAATTTAAATGACACTAAATATCATGAAAATTATCCATTTATGCGCTTATGAAAAATCATGGTTCCGAACGTAGTCGGATACCTTAACTTAGTATTAAATCTTCTTTATTTTGATTGTGCGACAGTTATACATATTACGAAAATTATAGATGTTTAAAATACAACTACGTCTGTCAAAACAAATATTTTATAAAGTTTAAACGGGTCATTTTAAAAACTGCATTTTTGAAAGTGAATGATCTCCAAAATGATGACTGATCTCAATCACCTATAGACATTAGTAAGAAATTTCCCACAAATGATTTTAATGGTATTATCTAGCAAATGGATTAAAAGATAAAAAAAAAAATGAATAAATAATTATGAAGTTATAGGACTTTGCTTCAAAATTATTAAAAAGTTACGAAAATTCCTAGTTTGTAATTTCGATTTGCTATGACTTTTGGTTTAATGGAAATAGTTTAAAATCTTTAGTCCATTCACATACTAGTAATATATTTTTTAAAAAATGAGTTCGTAGCAATGTTTTTATTTTGTCCAGCATAAAATATTCTTTGAAATAGAACATTTGAAAAAATCTTAAATTTAATTAAAAAAAAAAGTCTTTCAAATTTTAAAAAGTTACATATTACATATATTTATTATTATTATTTTGTAATTGTTTATTGTTGTACATAAAAGGGAAACTAAAAATGGAAAACAATTGGGTTTTTTAGAAAAATTTTAAGTCTCCGAAGTACCTTAATTTAAATTTTAGTAAAAAGAATGGATCTCTTTTTTTTTATCCCAGTAAAAGTAATTTCATACATAATTTAATTAAGGAGCCCCAGTGTTATTTTTGGAATAAATTTTTTTAGGCTTTGTTCACACAGGAATTAATTAATATTTTGATAGATGAAAAAATAATACGATTAGAAATAAATTAATGTAAATATAGAAGCAAACTAGGATTTGTTTCAGAAAATTTTGATACACATTTTTTAAACCTCTCTTGAAAGAGAGTTATACGGTCAAACGTATAATTTCAGGTTAGGACATCAGATGGGAGCACGATTACTAATTGTTGCTTGTGCTGCCATCTATCGGTAAAGTTAAAAATCTAGTTTTTCTTGCATCTGTAACTGAATTCTTTTTAAATATACAAGATGATTGATACGTGGCTAAATGTGAAACATTTAATCAATGAAACACAATTAAAATTTCCCTTCACGAATAGAATGAATGAAGTTATGATTACAGAATAATAAAATTAAATGAATAAGCTGTACTCTACATTAGGGGCGGGCAAACTTTTACAGGGTATGGTCTTTTTTCAAGGTGTTGCGGTCCACCCAGTGACGTAGGTGTGGTAAGGTAAGAAAAAGGCTTACGATATTTATTATAACTTAATAATAAATACGGAATATGTTCTTAGCTACATAACAACAATAAAAAGAACTTTCACTTTTAAGACCACGTTTAAAGCAAAACGCAAGATACAAACATAATAATAGCCATAAATGTATTAATATCAAACGATGTATTTGTTATACGAATCAATTCAAAATAAACATTTTTATCTAAAGTTAGAGCTCACAGTAATGATTAGTAGAAGATTTAGTCTGCATCACTGGCGTTGCTAGTCTTGAGTGAGCCTTATATCAAATTTCATTTGGGGGCCATTTTTTGAAAAATAAATAAATATGATCGCATAAATAAAACTTATTTGAAAGTGTCACAATATGTATACATAGGCAGACATATTTTAAAAAAATTACTGCTTAAAAATTAGCCTATTTGATTAATAGGTACTTTTTTGCTTTTTTTTCTTCGGATGACGTATTTATAATATTCATAGCAGAAGAATAT